AAAGTATAACTTGATTGAACTAAACAAGCCGGTTATGTTTGTTTCCGTTAAATCGAGCTCTCAATAAAGGAATGAATGCGTCTATTGTTTCAAATGAACTCTTAAGAAAAAAAAAATAGTAAGAAAACAGAAAAAAAATAAATAAATCAGAAAAACATTACTCAGAAAAACCAAACATAAAAATAAATTACTCCAAAAAACAGAAAAAAAACATTACTCAGAAAAACCAAACATAAAAATAAATTACTCCGAAAAACAGAAAAAAAAACATTACTCAGAAAAACCAAACATAAAAATAAATTACTCCGAAAAACAGAAAAAAAAACAAACCAAAAGATAAATGTTCAAGTGAATGCAATACGCCGCCGTGCTTTCTCATACTTAACCCTTCCAATCTGTATCTCTTTCAACAGAGTGGTTTGTTGGTGACCCCGGTTGTTGGATTCATAGAGGAGTCCTTCTGTCCCTGTCCGAACCCAGCTGAGGTCAGCGCCGTGTTCCAAGTCCCTCTGGAGTTCTTCACCAGCGAGAAGGACCATTGTACTGTCCACGGTGCTGCTGGGATGGTGGGGCCGATGCACTCTTTTCACTTTGTGGACCCCGATTCAGGAAGCCAGTATCACATATGGGGACTGACTGCCATGTTGGCCATACTGGTTGCTGCCCTCGCTCTCAGGAAAAAACCTGAGTTTGATGTTGGTTTTGACTCTGAGGATCCGTCATCTTTCTTCCAACAGATTCTCCATAGAAGAATTAGTAAACTATGACCAATTTTCACAATGTTAGTAACACATTTGTGCCAATACAAGAGAGATTTGTTATATAATCAAATAGTATTAGTGTACTGTATTAATTGTGGGGATAGAAGTGCAATGTGAAACCTTACTTACTTGTATGAAGAGATGAATATTAAAAACCTTTTAAAGCTTTTTTTTTTTTTTATAACTACTGCATCTAAAAAATAAGCAAATCTAGACACTCAATTTTTTATTAATTCATTTAATGTAGCAGCAGGATTACAGATATAAACAGAAGAGTATACAAATGTCCAGACCAAGGCAAATTACATGTTAATAATAGTTCAGATGTATGATAACACACTGGGGTTGACCTTTATCCCGACTGCAGGGTTTTAAGGCTAGATACTAAAGCTCAAGCTACACAGAACGGATACAACAGAACTGTTGGAGAATGTGGAATAGAAAGCGAACTAGGAAAAGTGAGCAAACTGATTACACACAAGATACAGCTCACACTATTGGCAATTTAACAGTTAATTTATCATGGTTGCTCCTTTTGATCAAGCATTTCACAGCAACAATAGTAATGTTGACAAGCACATCAACACAAGAAAGCTCTCCATAAAACAATCTCCACTGTCTCGTCCCTTTTACCTCACATGTACAAATCTCATGAGGCATGAAGAAAAAAAACAAAAAAAAAAACATTTTCAACAGAAAATAACAATTTGACAATTCACTGGTGAAGCTGCACAATATTATGTTGTTGAGTATTTACTCTGATATCTTGCAATGGATTTCCAAGAGAAAACGTTTATAAAATACATCAGTATGGGCTATGGTTATGCTTGTGTTTAAAAAATAAAAATCAATCAATCACTGAAAACTGTCCTGATGTTAAACAGTGAATAAAAAGGACATGGAGCCAAATAGCAGTGACACAAAAGGGACACCAGTAAACACAGCAGAGTAACAGTTAAGTTATCAAGGCACACAAAGTTCTGTTGAAAGCATCACAATTGAAATTCAAGATACCCCCTGCAGTATATTTCACATTTAAATATACATGGATATTCATTTACATGACTGAAGGACAAAACCGATATTGAGTAAAGATTTGTGTGCTATCTTCACCACCAATAAATTCATGTTTCACATGTTTTTTGTTTGTTTTTGTTTTTCTTGTTAGGTGGAAGTGGCTATTCGACGAGTCAGACTGAGCATCCTGGATTGCTCAAAATTAAAAAAAACAATTGGACGCGAGGACATGAAATTACACCACAGTCCAAGACAAAACAATCTGACAAATGTATAGTGATACAAATGACATTTGGTGCCACCCCACCCATTCTCCTCTGCCTCAAAATATATGTTCTCTAAAACTGTAATTGGTCCGATGTTAGATGTAGAGCAAGCTCTATGTCCACACCATGAGGTAAAACTTACATTCATGAAACTGAAGTCACAGGTTGGCTTTCTGTGTTGGTATGGCTTTAAGAGGCATTACTGTTCTGCAACTTCTTCCGCAAACATCATGTGCTCTTAAACTCCCCTAACCCAGGAGGAATGGAATGCTTGGAAACATCACTACTGCGCTCTAACCTGACCTACAGTTAATGGATGAGTCAAAGTGCCATTTGAGATGCATGACATATATATATGTATATATATGTAAAAAAAAAAAAGAAAAGTAAGAACAAAAACACACACACACACAAGAAATCTAGCCCATGCATTACGTTATACAAGTTGGATAAACTCAATGTTAAAACAGTTGAATTACTTTCTAACATTATTTGCTTGATGTCCACTTAATTACATTTCTAAAGTTCAGTCATACACTTCACAATAAACCTGCGCCACGTGTCAGGAAAACATACCAGCAATGATATTCTGTGCTATGAGCATAAAACAAAAACAAAAAAAAAAGTTTAGTTTTACAAAAATACTCTACATTTTGATACATGGATACAAAATTCTAAAAAAGATAAGTTACTTTAAAATGGATCACTAACAGCCGCAGGACAAAATAGTATGACTATGAAAATGTAAACAAATGCATATGAGCAATGCTATTCTAACATTTGAACTCTAAAAATTGGCTTTTTTGATAATGCCAAATTGGCTACTGTTGTAGATATGGAAAGTACAGCAGTTTTATTTTGCATCAAAAAATAGAGTAATTTTAATGAGAAATGTAAATATCAAATTGGTGGAAATGTTAATGAGAGTTGAACTGATCCATGAAACAAAGTACCTCTACATATCTTTTATAAATCTTGTACTTGAACAAAACAACATGCTGAATTGCTATCCATGTGAGAGCTGCATAATTTAAATGAGTAAACGTTATGAGGACATTTGCGAGGACAGATATGAGACAAGGTGACGACGATTCACAACAGGAGCTTTGGTATGCCTGGGTGCACTCCAGTCTGACCCCACAACAGCCAGCTCTCTACTCATCTCTGCTTCAAAACTAACAAATAACGTCAGTGCTGTTGATATTAAGTATAAACTGTTATGTTCTAACATCACATCAGAAGTGCCCATCACTCCTGTACATAGCACCATCGATAGAATGGCGCCCTCTATGTAACAGAGATTTCATTTACCAGTGAGCCCCTGTTCACAACACAAGGGACGGGTAACTGGATGCCAACTTCACATGGCGCCAGCCTGCACATGGTACCAACACTGAGACAAAAAAATTAAATATTTAAAACAACACAAGGTAAAACAAGTGACAGATTGAACGGTAAATAGTACAAATAGCAACACGATGAAAATTCTTCATTTCAATGCACAAAACTAAATGAATCAGTATTTTTAGTTTGTTTTGCCAGTGTGTAAAACACAAAGGCCCACTTACCACTCCAACACTGAAAAATGACAATGCTTTAGTGGGAATGGCTGTTGACAGACTTGACTGGACCACTGAGACTGAATACAAAGAGGAATTCAACAGTGAGCAGACGTTCTATACAAATTTGTCCTAGACCTCAAAAATATTCAGACATGACAAAATGTAAAAATGCTTGGTTAGGATGTTTTTACCTTTACAATGAAACTGCTTTAAGTTTTTTTTTTTGTGTGTTTTTAACTGGACGTTTCTGAGTACAAATTCAGCTGGGTCAGTACAGAGCTGTGGACGGATATAAGGATTAGCTAGAGGTTATAAAGTGCTTGAGATAAAATGTTTATAAAACTCACACAACACTCCTTTTTTCATGAGTGGAAAGTTTCTCTATCCACATTAAATTGGTAAGGGTTACCAACTTCTTCAAAACAAAAAAACAAAAAAAACAAAAGATACACACACTACATAGTCGAATGCTTCGTAAAATTTCACCAAGAATGCTTCTGCAAACCCGGCGATGAGGCCTGAACGTATGAAAACACTGGGGAGGTCCCAAGTCACATTATTCACCAGGTTGAATCTCATTTGCGAGTGTTTATTAGCCCCTTAGTCCCTCCTCTTTCTGCACATGGGGGAATTCCCTACAATACCATAATGTATTGATACCCATTTTGTTGAGTGTTTATTTCATTTTGGTGGAGTTGATATCTCCTCCGTCTGATAGTCTGCTCAGTTGCAGAGTCCAGCCATGCCAGCAAACATGATGGAGGCAAAACATTCTATCAAAGTACTTAATTAAATAGTTTACTCTTAGAGTAGATTTTAGTCAAATTGTTGACATATGAAACACAAGGTTTAACTAATTGCAAAAAAAAAAAAATCATATCATCCATGGTAAAAATTAGTTTAAATTGAGTGGTTGTGTCATTATTTCATCCCTGTTTCTATGCTAGGTAAACCCCCTACCCTCTTCTGTTGCCTCACACGATGAACAGACGAAAACACATCTCATAGACGCTCTGAAGTGAAGGCTTGAAGTTTACACACACACACAAAAAATGAGACCTAGCCTATATCTGACACTTATGTGCAATCTGTTATTCACTCCATGGCTGGCTGTTTCGTCTACTCTGCCTGCTTTTACGGACTCATCCCCATCACATTACTATTCCCCTGTTGCTGACATTCTTTACATCTCTTTCCAGTTTTTTTCCACCAAACATGGTAGGCTTTTATCATCTCTTAGGCTCACATTTTTAAAACAAACAAAACACTGCATTTCTGAGACTGATGGATAAAGCAGTTATTACAGGCCTCTCTGATCCTGCAAGAGGGGTAATAACAAAGGCGGATTCATCAATTCAAGGACAATGGATGTATGATGGCTATAATTGATTATAAATATTCCATAAAACAAGGAGTTACATGAGCTCATAATTTGTGTTTTAGGTAAAAGGGGCATTTAATTCTTAAATATTTAAAATTTTCTTAGTTTTGTGGAATTGGCACAAAACACCACGCACCGCCATTCTGTCTGTTGGTGTAAAGATGTATAACTTTCAGCTACATATTACTCACTCTCCTTAGTGCCCACATGGTCCAAACATTCATCACTGCTTCTGTAGACTTTCCAGCAGGTCCTCAATTTTATCCATGTTGGAGGATGCCGATATTGACGCCTGCAATTGATTCTGTAAGCTGCTCTGTATCTGTGTCTGTAGATTGGTCTGCATTGGAGTTGGCAGGCTTGTTTCTATGGTTGCCTGTAAACTGGACTGCAGAGCCGTTTGTGTGTTTGTCTGCATTGCATTCTGTAGGCCGGTCTGCATGGCGTTCTCTAAGCTCGACTGCATTTGTGCCTGAAGGGTGTTCTGTAAGCTGTTGTGCATGGTGGTCTGCATTGCAGGGGCAGCTTGGGCCATGGGCTGCATGTGACTGGAGTTCTGGTGTTGGCCCTGAGCTGGCAGGGTGGGTCCGGAGGAACTGAGCAGCTGGGGCGAATCTATGAGGAAGAGAAAAATTAAAATAATCACTACAATCAAACAGTAGGTAAAGGCATTAGTGGTGGCCCTGGGGTTATTTAGGAAGCATTTGGACATGAACAACTGAAGAAGACAGACCAAAATCATCTTACCATTTTGGATGCCAAACACAAACAGGTTGGCCTGTCCTTGTGGCGCCACATTCCCACCCACAGTTGTCTGGAAAAGCTGCTCTGGGGGCTGCTGGCCAGGGTTGGCTACCACACCCACACCACTCTGTACCACAAAGATGGTTGTGCCAGGGGCTGGAGCCTGGTTGTTCAGCTCCTGTGAACCAATGGCGCTCTGCAGGCTTGACAGAGATGTCTGTGGCAAAAAAAGCTCCACGGGTTGACTGCTTGGGATGTTGCTGGAACTTGGGCCCACTTGCATTGGCTGCTGTTCCTGGAACAGGCTCTGCTGTTGGTTCTCAGTGGTTGTCGAGTTGCTGCCTGATGAGCTCTGGTCTTGGAAGGACATGGGCTCTGCTGGGTCTGGCTGGGAGATTCCAACGCTAATGCTCCCCATAGGGGAAGGGCCTTGGGTCTGGGTGCTGAAGAGAATAGTTGGGGGAATAGCCTGTGGGTTTAGATCCGTGGTGCAGAGGAGCAGACCTGTCTGCTGGGGTTGGGAAAGCTGGCTCTGGGTGACAGGGTTAGCTGGTGAGTGGTTTGGGATACTTTGGAACAAGGAGCCCTGCTGACCCATTGGAAGCTGTGGTGGCTGTTGTTGGTTCTGCTGTGGAGACTGCTGCTGTTCCATGGGGGTGCTCTGTTGCTGCATTTGGGAGAGCTGAGCTTGGGGTTGGTTCTGAAACATTGCAACAGACTGGGGCTGGTTGGATGTCTCCATGGAGGAGATGAATGCCAGCTGCGGCTGTTGCTGTTGTTGCGACTGAGGGTTTGGGGACAAGTATAGGGTTGACCCTGTTGACTGCTGCTCTGAGTTGAGACTGCCACTAGCCAGAACAGTCAGTGTATTCTGGAGCAAGGCAGCCTGGACCTGCTGTTGGGAGCCCTGGGTCTCAGCCAGGGGCCTGGGCGATTGGAAGAGTTGCTGTGGGGGAGATGTGTGGGATGGAGGCTGTGTTGGGAAGTTGGTCTGAATGGTGAGCAGTTCTCCAGCCTGTTGAAGGAGGGACACTGGCTGCTGTACCTGGGGGGAGGAGTGGATCTGGGGCTGAAGCAACTCAGCCTGAAGTTGCTGCTGTAAATTCTCCAAGACCTGCTGCTCCTGCAGTTGTTGTTGCTGTTGTAAGTTGCTCAACGCTTGATTTTGCTGCTGTTGCTGCTGCTGTTGTAGCTGATGTTGTTGTAAATTGGTAAGTATTTGATTTTGTTGTTGCTGATCCTGAAGTTGGATGTTGTTAAGGACTTGCTGTTGCTGATTTTGTTGCAACTGTTGTTGTTGCTGCTGCTGTTGAATATTCTCCATGATTTGCTGCTGCTGCAATTGCTGTTGGTCGTGAGGCTGTAATATAAGTTGTTGTTGGATCTGCATGTTGCCAAGAACTTGCTGCTGTTGCTGCTGCAAGTGTTGCTGCTGTTGATGCTGAAGGTTACCAAGGATTTGCTGCTGTTGATGCAGTTGTTGATGCTGTTGAAACTGTTGTATTTGTTGTTGTTGTTGTTGCTGCT